TTGAATTACAGTAAAATAAGTTAACAAATATCATTATTCTTCGTTAAAATATTCAATTTCATTCAAACTTGAACTTAAAATAACAATAAAAAAATCGTGTTAATATATTAATTATATGTTCGGTGATAATATACCTATGAGATATTTTGTTTTAAATTATATCTTGTTTATGAAAAAAAAAAACAATTAATAAAAATTAAATTTCATAGCTGTAAATTTTTCAAACATAATCAAAATATATCAAATATTCTTATGTTTAATAAATGATATCACAATATTTAGTAAAAATTCCAAGTACTTAACGGTTGTTCATTTGGTTTTTGAATTACATCAAAATATTAAAAATGAATTGATTGGATTTCGTTGGTTTGATAGCGAACAATATCCAATATTATAAAAAATTTAAATCCGTTAAACTTTTTTTTTTAAGAGGAAAAAAWWTTGAGAAATTTTATAATAAATTTTCAATGTTATAGCTATGCAAAGACAATTTTTAACAGAGCATTKCTGAAATAATATTTTCATACTCTCCTAAAAGTCTCCAAAGTATCTCTAATCTTGTTAATTATAAATCTTCAAACACATATTGTAAGTATTATAAGGTGAGTTAAAATTACTGGGATACAAGAACAAAATTGTCAATAAAGAAAATTATTTGTTTAAAACAATTGAAACTMAATTTATTGAAATATGATTAAAATAATTACATTGACCAATAAAATTTCATAAGACCCGTTTACCTGACGCCTGACCATTGGCCCTTATTGCTCGTTTTCCTAGGTCGGGATTCACCGGACTCAGTTTGCCAAAACGTTCCGATAAGACCWGAGTTCTCACCTACTCTCCTGTTTGGAATAATGTAGTAGTGGTAAATTATATTGTCGCAATATTTATTATTTATTGTTGTAAAAATCACGACACTCACGCTCTTCCATACTCTGAAAAATCAGAATTGAAGGAATAGCAAAGGCCAAATTCGGTGCGCTGCAGTTCAAATATGTCACAACAATTTACCGGTTTGAATTTCCACCAACAACCTCCACAGCAAAACACTTCGTTGCACGGCCTCATCACCTGTGCAATACTTCATGTAATAATAGTATAATTGTATATAAACGTCTATCTAACCTAAACTAACGTAAAATTTTACTAATAAATTTTGAATTTTCACATTCAAGTTTATATAAAAATATTATTAGAGATTAAATGCATCATAAATATGTATTATTAAGTTTGAAAATGAAATAATAAGTAATGATATTATGTTGTAGAATAACATTCAACGAAGAATTTTTAAATATAATACAATATTAGGTAGATTATCACTTTTCATTTTGTTAGTTACGCATTAAAATATAGAAAACCCCACACAACACGGTATGATATATGTATATGAAGTTTTAAACAGGATTTAGAAAACATCATATGAAACGACTTTGGGCCGTCCTTACMATGTCCGGTTAAAGTTAAYCGACCAAATTCTGCTGGTAAAAATCCCACTAACCGTCGGTTAACCGTTAACCAACACTTAACCAGACATTGTGAGAATTGGCCTTTGTGTGATTAACCTTCAATAATAGTTCGGTTAGGTTGAGATGGTTGAGCTTCGAAAGTTCCGTCACATTCTTCAACTCTTCGAATTCGTCGAAATCTCCGTACGATATCACCGAGAACGTTTTCAACACTTTCCTTACGGCAGGCAACAGGTTTGGATCGATATCCGGCACGTCCCTATACAAATATCGTCAGTAGTACAATTTGGTGAATATTACGCAAAATTTCGAAATCATGAAGATATKAATGACTATTTATTAGATGTTAATAGAATATAGTTAGATATATGGTATTGATCCGAGCTAAAAAGTTCAGTTAAAAAATTGTAAATCGCACCGAACGATTCAGATTGTTATTAAACTCTTGAAGCAAACATTTAATTTAACATCGAACCGAACCCGTACCAAATATTTTATTTGATACCGAACTGAACCCGAACCGAGCATTTTAATTAAAATGTCGAATCAGCTTATAGTTTTAACTCACGCCGTATTTAATTGAAGTCTGTTACCTTAGTGCCGCCAAGTTCACGGACATACAGAAATAACGTATTAATTATAATATTCAATTTTTAATTTAAATTAAGTCTTATCGGTTCTAACTTCCAACTTTTTCAAACGTTGAAATTTTTTACAAACTAATTTTTTTAAAAACTTGAAGTATATTTTAGTGATAATCTAACTATTACAAATTAGTGATATTACTGGGCCGTTAATTGGGTTACGCGTTGCCAATCCACTCTTGAACTGTCACATATCACCACCATTGGAAACGCTATATTGGCGTAGCTAAAAAAAGTTGTTTCGACCACCGTGTCGATTGAACTCTCGTCATATGTCTTCCACGATTCCACAATTGCGTAAGTAGCGAATAAGAAGGCGCACATGACGGTTATCGTCCAAAACGCTCTGAAAATCACGATGTACACGAACTCAGTTATGTCTATTGTGATGATCTGACAGCTTTACAATGCTATCGTTTAAATACACGTCCATACATATAGAGGGTAATTTTTTAAGTATACTTATCCCCATTTTTCTTTAACAGTACATTTATCCAAATTATAATTTTTAGTATTTTTAAGTTGACTTAAATACCAAATTTTTAAATGCCTGATATTTTTTGTAATACTTAAGGAGTATCCTGTGGCGATATCAATTTCTATTTTTTAAATGAGAGCCTTCTTTTTTACTRAAAATTATTTAGTGGATAATTGTTTGAAAATTATGATTTATCTAAATCAAAATTCTAATGAGTAGTTTCTGAGTAAGCAAAATTTTTATATTAAGGATAATAATCCTTAAAAATGGTTTTATATATAAAAAATAAATACTATATGTAATGTTAGATGTAGTATTTATTATATTTGGATCATTTAAAAAAATTCTTTATATTGATAAAACAATAGTAATTGCTAATTTTTTCAAATCTTCTAAGCCTCTTATCTACTAAACCCATTTTAATATACTCTACYAATTTTAAAATGWTGACTATACAAAACCATAAAAATATATGATTTTAACGTTAACTGAAGTATGCTATATTATCTAAATCTAATATTTTTTCAACCGTTATTATAGTTAACTGAAGGTAGCGCACACATGCATATTTTTCATTTCAAAACACCAATACTCATTTTGTTTATTTAAATGGTTACCATTGGTTACATAATATTACATATTACATACCTACTATTATAATATTATACAGTATAGAAATATGATATCCACAATTATTTTACAAATATATATTTTTTTTAATRAATCTTTAACATTGACAATGTTTAATTGAATAGTYAGTAATATATGTTTATTTTCATACATAAACTTGTAAGGTAAGTGAGATCACGATGTTGCTTAGATTTTGGGAAAAGTTTAAAATACTGTCTACTTAAAAGGACATCACACCCGCATTGTGTTGTATCCGTCTTACAAATGTACAACGTATCATAAACGATTTTGTGCCGGGCAACTTTACTCCCTCTGTATTTAAAGCAGAATAACTAAATCTGTGTCGTAGTGTTTTTATTATTTTTATTGCACTAACCAATAATTTGTAATAATTAACTACAAAAAAAAAAAAACGGAAATCTAATTTTCTTAAACTGATCATTTAAATTGCAATAATAATATAAACAATAAAAAGGCAATGACATAGATAAATTTTTCCCCTATGCGTTGTGACATTTTAGTAGTTCTGAAATKAATACAGATGAAGTAAAGTTGTCYTGCACAAAACAGTTTTTGATACGTTGTACATTTTTAAGACGGAAAGGACACATAAAAAATCAATTACACCAWGTCGATGTGACATATATATTTGTAATAATAATGGCATATGTTAATTAATTATAGTTATAGGTAAAATTAATAACAATTATATTACTAAGATAATTATTTAGGTACTATTATAGTATCTGGTATTTGGTAAGGGTCAAATTTGTGATTTTTTTCGTCGCGTATTATAGTATACCAACTTTTCTACAGGGCTCCGATCGTTCCGTATGATGTGGTTAAGTCCATGTAGCGAACACTGATCGCAAATGTCGTTTAAAATGTTCTTCCACAAGTTCGTGTTACGTCTCACGCCATACACGCGGGTTGATCTGTTCCGAAATCGGACGAGATCGACTCTCCTGGACATGGACGTCTGTTTGGGGCACGCCATCGAGACGATGAAATTGCATTGACCGTCGTCCGTAGGTCTTGTTAAATAATATATATAATGGTATATAACCTAGCGAACTGACTTTTTCAAAACCATAATTATAGGTCGCAAGCGCTTAAAACGATTATAAAAATATATAAATATTATATTGTACATAAACTATAACACTCATATCAACTTTTATTGTCATGTCTTTTGCCCAAAATTCCATCATACATGTATGCTTATAACATGATACACTCAATAATAATATTTGTATACATTTTTACAGGACGTGACAACCTAAGTTTACAACGTAAAGTATACTATTATTATTTTTACAATGCACTTACAATTTTATTATTATCAAACTATACTTTTACGTCTTTTTTTCTGGTTTGAGAAATTCGATCGTATAGAAGAAAAAAAATGAAGTGTACATAATATTATATACGTTGATAATATTGTGTTTCGAGTTTCGGCTTTTGATTGATACGTTTCACCAGGCACTTATCAAACCGACATTCTAACAAACGTTACATATAAACAGGCAAAATAATTGTATTTTATACTTTTATGACACGGTAATACTCGTAATATATTTTTTAAATATAAAAACATTTTTATGACCAGTAAATATTTACAGTAGGCTATTATTAAAAATAAATACCCTTAAATTGCAGTCAGATTTATCAGATTTTCAATAATAGTATACATAAAAAATAAAATTAATTTCGAATTCGACAATTATGTTAAAATTTATTTTACAACAATTCAAATAGGTATATATTTTGGCTGGCTATGAATTATTTTATTGAATAAATGAACGATGCTCTGTTTTAAATGATTTATGGGTTTTACTTTATTGAAAAATCAAACATTAATTTTCACAATGATGAGATAAGAAATATTTAGGTACAGTATATCATCAAAATTTGAATATTTTAAATGAAGATTCTTTGAATTCAAAAATCAATATTTGTTAAAAATTGTTTATTTCTCATTAATAGGTAAGTACTAATTGTATTATTTTGGAAAACTTTCAAATCGAATAATATGCATACTATCTAGTGGACAACTGTCATCAAAAATGTTCAAACGTAAATAATCCTTTTTAATTATTCATTAAGGATAATTTAATTGGAATATAACCACCATACTTGTTATGAAAGGATTTCAGGCTTGAATATCCACATTTAAAAGTATAAGTAGTAAAAATTATTTAAATTTTATATATTTTTTTAACTTTTAAAATAATAGCCTGAATTGCTTTTAATGCTAGAAAAATGAATTTTAAAATTTACAAACGATCATAAAGAAACAAATATTTCACAAACATCCATACTCAATATCGATTATAATATAATACTCGTATTATTATTATGCTTTAACGAGTGTAATGGTTTATTTAAAAAACAAAATTTGTATGACGGCGTCATGTATAGGCAATATAGTTACATATGTCCTTGTTAATCAATGAAGTATTAAAAAAAAAAAAAAAATGTTTATTTTATAAGGCAATTTCAATTTCTAAACGAATATTATATTATGTTTTATTGTTCGTTGTCTTATTTTAAGTTACCATAATTATGGTGTATTGTATAAGTATTAAGTATAAAATCTTTTCTTAGTTATATTAGTGAATATATTCACTGAAAAAATTCCTTATTATATTTTAAGTGCTTTGTAATTTTTTTTTTTTAGATCAAATATTATGGCAATTGACGTTTTTACTGATGCACAGAAAAAAATATTTGGAACATAATTTTTAATCACATCGTTGTCATCGACTCCATTTTTCATATGGGTAGTTGGTAGTTATATTATATATAATATGGGGTCTATATTCTTTCCATTAATCCATTAAAAATCTTATATGTGTAGGTATCTCTTTCAGTTGAATTTAAAAGAAAATGGGTTTTTTCTTCTTTTTCTTTTGATCACATTAAATTAAACCCTGTAGTATTTTAGTATTTTAGAATTTTATCTGAATTATATTTAATATTCTCATTTCGTTTACAACGCGTATATTGGCATGGTATATTCCAAGTTTATTGTATCTTATAATTCATATTATACATATATTATATATAACTATAATTTGTCTGTCAAACCAAAAATATGGATCTACACATTATATTATGATGGATATATATATTTATTTTTATATAATATTGTTGACACAAAGTACACGTTATAAGATGACGAAATGTTATTACATCGATGTAATAATAATGGTTTACTTTGAAAATTACATTTTTTCATTAGCTTACAGTATATTATACTATTGTAGGTTACACTAATGACTGCATTGAATAATATTATTATGTATAAAATATGATACATGTTGAAATATTAATTTAAAAATTTTTTGTTTGCCTTTCATTCGTAGTTTATTATACTGTAGTGCTTGTGTGAGCGTTGGATAAAAACTCACACTAAGTTAATCTTTATATGTTCTGCACCAGAAGAGTACCTAAAGCAGTAATTAAATTAAATTTTACTTTTTACATATTATATTTGTAATATAATAATATTATGTAGGATGATTCACCTCTCGTTCTCGACATCTCACTTTTTCTTTAATCATGCAGTTATACAAAATCTTATAGATAATCAAAGTTTATATTTAAACGAAAACAAAAAGAATAAAAAATGATAAAAGGTATTTTATCATTACTCTAGAGCGTTTAAAAATTACCTCGACAGGAAGGCGACCGTCACTCACGGTATGCCTATACGTTAGTAAACGGATGCATGCGAATAAATCAAGATGAGTGTTATTGTGATTTGCGTGGTTATTGAATAGTTCCACATTAATAAGTACAATTATTGCGCATTTCATGATTTTATAAAAAAATATGAAGCAGTATCAGAGGGTAGTTAAGTTTTAAACACCTTTTTAGTACAGAGTGATTCCTCTATTTTTTTCCTATTAATAGTTGCGAGTATTTTTAGTACTTACACATCTTATAAATTTGATCTAATCGAAAAACAAAAACAACTGTACCGTTTTGGACCACGTTATATACTTACAGTAGTATCTAAAATTATATTCATAAATTAAACCTTATGATTGAAGGCCCACCAAAAAAATATTATGGGCCCCACCAAACACATAAAACCAGAAATTATTAAATCAATTAAATTAAGTTTGGTATAATATATTTTATCTCAGTTGTAACATATATAATATATATTATATAATGTATATATGTTAAATAGAATAAAATATTTAATATTTGATTATATTTTTAATTGGTAAAAGTACAACGTTTGAATTTATTATTCTCTATTGGCAAATATAAATTTATTTACAACAAAAAATCTGTAATGCATGCTGTAAAGGAATTTATTGGATTTTAATCATTTAACTATACCTGATCGACTTTGATACAACATTAAATTATTCCATCGTAGTTCAATGGATATTTTTCAAACCATAGTCTTTAAATTTATCTATAGATATCGTAAATAAATATTTTTTTCCGTGATAAAATATATTATGCAAATAGATATTATCTATTCATCATTATTATAACATAATTAAAACTTCATAAAATCAAAATAAAGACAAATTTATAGAATTTATACAAGTATTCAAACATAATATAGCAACTGCTGTGATTGGACGTTTCAGAAGTCCAAGACCATTCAGAGTTTTAGTTTGTCAAATACAAAATTTAATTTTCATTAAACACCTCTATATATTTATCATGCCTATATTTCGAACATACATTTAAAATTTTAAATCTATAAAACCAAACTAAGCGCAAAAACTCAACATCGTTTATCACCGTCCTATGATAAGGTTTAAATGTACCTATTTTATACATTATACGACTATTCTATGTATATTTTAATAACTAATATAACTTAAATCTATAAATTAATTCAGAAAAAAATTATTTTGAAACTATATAATTGTTTTCAAATAAAAATCTACAAGAACAGATAATTTCAATTCATGAAACGTTGGACGATTTTGTTWCGATGTCGACGGTTCAACCAATAGTCATACAAACGAAACGTCATGAAATTTATGAATTCAACGCCACTGATTAATGACGCCCCGAGAAAAAGTCCGCAGACTCCTCCGTAGCCGACTAGAAACAAATAAAAAAAAAAATCTTAGATCAAACAATTTATCTTACTTAAGCTTATATAATAATATATACAATATTATATCTGGACTTTGCCAAAAATTAACGAACATCAAATACGGGCATAGGGTGCATTAATCTATACATATGACTTATAAGAACACTTAGAAAATACAATAGAGAWGGGCAATCCACTGGTGGTATATTGGTTATAACACTACATATAACTTTGTACATACTCGATACAAAAGTAATTTAAATCACTCTCTAAATTTTTCTGATATTTTTAAAAAATAATCTCCGAACTTTTATCGTATAGTTTTAGAATTTATAAGCTACAAACACAATTATGTTTACATTTATTTTTGATATACATTTAAATAAAAAACAATAAATTCTCGGCTAGTCTATTACCATATTAAATTCATAAGCTAATTTAAATTTTATTTTCTGTAACTAATGGCAACTCCATAAATATACTGAACGAATTTTATATGTGAGCTTATTTATAGAAATCTTGAAATCTACATAGAAGTTGAATACGCATAGAAAAAATAGTTTTAATTTATATGATTTCATTCCATTGATTTAGTATTTGTTTTATTTTATTGATTATAAACATCAGAAACTATAATAGTCATTAGTATTTTGTTAGGATATTATGGTTTGAGAAGTTCGCGTATGTGGGTCGATAATACGTCATTAAAACCCGGGTATCATACGTTTTAATACGTACCCTATCAGAGAACGATGCCGGCCGACACTTGACCTCAGAACAAGTTAATAACTGAGGCCAACCACCGAGCCACACCAGCAAGACCATCAATGTTAATAGATATCATAATTTAAATTTCCTAAAATATCATTAGTTTTAAGGAAAATGTATTATATTAACGAAATATTAATATAATATTTCATCATTTTTTTTTCTTTATTAAAATTTTGCTAACATTAATCAACTAAATATAGGTTTATAGATTTAAGATTCTTAAAATTTTTATATTAGATATCATTAGATACAAGATTATTAGATAATAGTATAACAGAGTTCAATAATAGGTTTTTACACTATTTTAACAGTATTTACATTATTTTACTATAAAGAATTCGTTACATTCTTTTTTTTCGATTCAACAACTATAAAATTAGTATTGAATAAATTACAGATTCCTTTTAACTTTTACAGGCTTAAGATTGGTTACATACAAGATACAACAGGTGCGATTAATAACGTATTTTTTTTTTATCTAAATTAAATTTATCTTGTTAGTTTGTTAATAATCCTTGTTATTTTTGTATTTATCAGTTGTAATGTAATATCTCTTCTTCGTCAATTAAACTTATTTGCTACTATAACATTTTATGCTAATTTGTTTTACGTATTCTAATCAATTAATAGATTTTTTGAAATAATTTTCTAAAACATTCGTCTAAAAAAATTATTTATTTATGGTGTCTTTTTGCTAAATATTAATAATATTTTTCTTTGTTGAATGTATTGTTAAGTCTGATTCTTATTTTTTGTAATATTTTCTCGATAACTAGGTACGCGTTTGAAGGTCATGAGTGCAATTATTGGCTGTTGTATACACGTATATTTCCGGATATCTGTAAGAATTTTTTTGTCTGCGGAAGAGTCTACATCGCTGTTAGGTACGTCCACCGTTCTTTTGAATTGAAATAGTATTTTAATAAAACAATAATGAGGTAGCTAAATTTAATATTATATATTATTTCATATTCACCTAGAGCATTCATAAAGTCGAACACTAAATCCGTTTCGTACAGAAAACACGTAGACCTGTGAAAGAAAACGTCAATGGTAATTTGGTCGGCTCTCGATCTGAAAACAGTAACAAAAGTTCATTTTGGACTCATTTAACAGAAGAATTATTATATTATTATCATTATCGAACGAAGTAAAATATTTCCGTGTGAACAGGGAGTAATACATGCAAAAATATTAGATTGCTAATAAACATAATATTGTTGATTTATCATTATGAAATTACCACCGCTTTATAAAAAATTAAATAGACGAAAACAACGTCTATAATAAAATTATGAATCATATTTTTGAAAACATTCCGGTCGATTTTTCCTCTCGTAAATGTGCTTAGATTCGGTTGAATAATATAATATCTAGGAAGTGATTTAATCACATGAGAGCTGAGATGCTCATTATAATATCATACTATTTGAATATCGAGCCATTTTTTTTCGTTTTTTGAGAGGCACAAAATTAAAAACCATCTACTGAAGTTATAATAAGTTGCATTGTCAAGACGCAATAAGAATATTATTTTATGCAACGTATTGTGTGTACCGATAAAAGCTTTACGTAAAAACTATCATCATCATAATATAGAATGTTATTATATGACCGTGAGGGCTTTGATATTGTTACGAATCCATTCTTCTCTTTTGTATAAAATATTTTTAGGCTCTATGAAGGTACAAAAATTCAAACATATGATACGTGATTTAAGCTTTGACCTGTATTATTTTAAAGTTGAATTTCGTACTTCAAAACTTATTTTTTTAAACTTTGTTTTTCATTTTAAAGTCATTGTTTTAAATTTCCTATTTTTGACTTTTGTACGCTCTGTATAAATGTGTAGGAAAATAAAAATTGTTCCTATTGGTTTAGATGAGTTAATATAAAAATGTATACATTTTTTTCTTCGTAATGCCTATCAAATAAAAATACAAATAAACTCACTTTACTGTGCAGAATTTACTAGTAGTATTCATTATGTTTTTAACATGATTTTGCATTCATAACTCAATAATAATGTGATAATATTATATTATTTCTGATTTGTATGAGCCTTAAAAGATTTTTTTATAGATGATAAGTTGAATTACGAGTGATAAATTGTGAATATGTATAAAATCATTATATGCTCATGCATACGTATTTTATTATAGATAGGTATCATTTGATTGAATGTCAAAAACAGAATTGATTTCTAAAAAATCAGACATTTGATAATATATTGAGTGTTTTGTGGAAATAAGAAAATGCTCACGTTTCATTTAATACGACAATGTTAGACTTATACTTTTGGCTGCGACAATCACCTGGACATTTGCATCTTAAATTCGTGGATAAATTTTTGTCACGATCCACGATATTAATGAAACTTGCTGAAAACGACGTTCAAAAAATTAATTTTTGTGAAAATATTATATTATATTATAATAATTATATATATTATTATGTCTTATATWAGACAGGGAAATCACCAATATTACAATTATTAAAATATGAAACAATTTATAACACCAAAAGATTTTGTCTTAACACCTTAAATACCACGTTGTACCAGATCGTTTATTGATAACTACGTAAAAGTGTGATTTTCAGATGTTTAAAAATGTCAAATATTTAAATTAATAGGCTCGAAATTTCATTAGGTGCGTTTGTAATCATAATATTTTTAGATTCTGGTTCTCAAAATTATGCCTCAAATTAATTGTTTTATCATTTTATATTTTGTTCAGGGTGAGGAGAATTTTACAAAAATGCTACCTAAATCCGACCTTACAGATATAATCATATAATATATTCAATACAATTAATATTCACGAAATGATCTATTGATACTAATCCACACTAATCTTTTTTTAAATAGATTTTTGTATTTAAAAAAAAGAATGTTGAAGTATCATCGAAGCAATATAATCAATTATTCCACTCTGCTATAGTAAATTAGTAACATAGTAATAACTAATATTACTGTACCCGGACTGTGAGAATAAATATTTTTGGAAAACACATTAATCAAAAAAATTAATTGAGAAGAATTACCAGTTGGTAAAGAATAGATKAACAGTCGTTTGAAAATAAAAAAATTAGGATAGTTATTGTCTGATTAATTAATAATTTAGGATCAGTATAGTATAATATAATTATAATATAGACGAATTATAGTCATAGCCTTAGTTATAGATTTTAAAATCGCTCAATAAGTCACAAATTTGTAATAAAATGTTTATAACATCAATTATATATAACCTATACAAGATCGATGTTATCTTTTAATTTTATTGATTTTCATGACTATTTTTCTAACCTAATTACATATAATATACTCGATTTATTTGAGACTTGTCTCCAATTTCACGTAATACAAATAGTTATTAAAAAAATAACATAAATTTTATCAATCGACGACCAAGTCAAACACAATTTTTTTCAATTTATACTATCGATATTTTTAAGTCTAGGTTAAATCGTAGAATCCGAGGACAACCACTAATAGAGATTGAACAATTCTCTATAATCCAAATAACTATACAGATCAACTTCGAACCCTATACTGACCTTCGACTGCAGGGAATCAGGTTTTTAAGGTTTGAATCAATTATTCCAAGTACTTGATTTGTAAACTAATGTAAATTTTTTACAAAATTTTTAATTTGATACACATTTTTAAGATCAACACAAACTAAATATATAAAAAATTCCTGTTTTCTTGATAACATCGACCTTCGGGAATTTAAAATGTTGTTTTACTAAACACTCAATTTATCTACGACTAAACGAAATCTTCTAAATCATATATCTTCACCGAGATAATTGAAAATTGTATTCCTTTGTTATTTATTACAAATTTACAGAAAATAACTAACCTACTTGGACATCTGGTTTAAACAAACAAAAATTTAAAAATAATAGCGTCAAAATTCATTTTAACTAATGTTTTTTTGTTTTTTTTTTTTTTTTGCTGGTTTATATGAAAAGTACTGTAATTTTATTTTTTACAACATTTTAAACCAAAAATTTATAAATAAAAAATACATCTAAATTATGTTTGAAAATGGTTTTTAAAATGCTTCAAAAATAAAGGATATAACCTGACAGATATCAGTACGATTGAATATGCTTAAAAGCGAAACAATGAAATAACCACCGATCCAAAAAACAATACCTACTATTGTGAGCAAAATTCACTTTCTATTTATGAGTATAATTGATGTATTTCATGTTCAAATTTAAAAATTCAAGTAAAGGTTCGTATTCAAATTATACAAAAATTGATGATTATAGTTATATTTGATATCAATAACATATTGGCGTATTAATTTTAATTTCATATTCAAATATTATGAGTTTACCTATTTTCATTATTATCATTGAAAACAAATCTTTTTCTTTGTATTTATGTGAATAAACATTTGATGGATTCTGCAGCAATATACATTTTCAAACAATAATAGGTTATATACAAACTTAAAATTTGGATTAGGTACTATAATATAGAATTATATATTTTTGAAACTATACAGATGTAACAAGAAAATCTGACAAATTAAATAATTTTTGTTCTAATCAATATTTAAATTTTTAGACTTTTGAATTTTGTGCAACTGGTATTCTTTATTTTTATTTTTCAATACTGAAAAAAAAAATTAAATCTGATAAATTGTTTGTGAAAAGTTTTATTCGTAAATATGGATTTCTGAAAACTCTTGGCTATAAATATATATTATATTTAATTCATGTAGTTTTTTTATAATTTTTAAATATATCAAAATTTTTTGAAGTAAATCATTAATTTATTTATTAGTACATTTTTAAAATAATATTTAGATTTTAATAAGTATCTACTTAAAACATCTCATGAAATATTTAAAAAAGCTTATAGTTTTTGAATTCAAAATGTTTTTTACAACTTTATCAACTTTACTTCTCAAAAATGACATGGTAAAATATTGTAAAAATTAAACTATATGACTTAAATGCCTAAATGTTTTTACAACTGAAAATGTACTAAAATTCAGATTTACAAACCAGATTTTTTATTTTCAGCATTAAAAATAAGAAAAATATTGTCATTTTCAATGATAATAATCAATAAGGTATCGACGTTAATGACCATTCTTAATCGTATTTTTATTTACACTTTGAACAATATTGATGGTATAAGGAAAAAACTACTGTACACAATAGTATATTATCATCAGTATATGAAAAAGCTAGAAGCGACCAGTTTATATATTATATAACGCATAAATAATACGCGTTTGACTGTAACAATAATTACATGAATGTTCAGCCAAGCATACGAGTCCTTCTACGTTGCAATCGGGATAAGGAAGATCTGAAATCAACAATAATAATATTATTATTTTATTATTTCCGAACCAGCATTGATCGTTTTAGGTATTCGTCTGGCTTAATACCCAATAAACCAGAAATATATCGTCACAATGTCGCAATAATGGTATAGATACCGCAGTGCATAAGATAGCAATTTTAGTTTTTTTTTCTTACCTTTTTCGTAGTGAAAATAATAGAAACTCGGCACGCACTTACAATCGTGAAACATAAACCGTTGGTAACAGTTGAACAAACAGTTTGACGTCAAATAACCTCGGCCCAAATAGGTCTTTTCGTCGGGGTACAGACAGTGTCTCTTTTCGGGTTTGACGCGTATGAGACGTTTCGTCGGAATTACTTTATCGCCCCATACTTTTATGTAGCCACTAGTACCTTTGGCCACCATCATTCCTCGATCGATCGGCAAGGCGCTAGGATCCCTAATCATAACCTGAGGACGAAATTWAATAAATAAATAGGAAATCATATTGCAATTCTCAATAACGCGCACGCCGCAGGATTATACATACGGATTTTCGAAATGTTCAAACAGTGTTAAAATTATTATTATTGATCCAATAAAACAAAATATACACGTGTAATCAAGTTCAAACAGTGTTAAAATTATTATTATTGATAAAATGTTATTAGGTTTAACATACAAMATATTGAAACTCATTAAAGACGTATATATTTAAAATAAAAAAATGTAATTTGTTAATATTTTGATAATAATGGTTAGAAGTTACGTGTTAAAAATAACACTTAGGTATATTAGTATATGGCTTGAACTTGATTACACGTGYATATTTTGTTTTATTGGATCAATTAATTTAATGGTTAATAAAATAACGAGTTTTATAAATGTTTTCGGTACATACATAATGATTAATATCATGAAATGTTTGTTTTTAAATTCATGGYCAACAATTTACTTTATACTCCGAAACTTGAACTATTTACTCTACAAAGCCAAACATTTTACCTATTGAAAAATTGATTTTGTCGAATAACCAGATGTAGTATTTTTCATTCTGTACATATGTGATAATATTATGCACAACTCAGATCAAGTTTGGATAGCTATTCAAATTTCAAATTGCTTCTTAATATAGATTTGTTATGCCTCTGTGAATCACAAAATGTTTCACCTCCGTTGGCGTATATTTAGGTATGTTGAAGCAATAATGTGCATTGAAACTGCAGTTTTCAAGATAAGTACATTTTTTTAAAAAGAATCTTAAAATTCATGGATCATTGGCTATGTTTTGAAACATGCAAATTGATCATTTTATGTCACTATTAATCACTGTTTGTAATACGAAAGTAATTATTTAATTATTTAAATACTATTAATATTATTAATGTTATATTTRATTATTTAATAATAAATAACACCCACAAATGATAAAGGCATACAGTAAGTTAAGTAAATTATTAATAAAACAATTAGATATACCAAAGTACAATTAATTTAATAACTGCCATTTCAATTTGTTTATTAAATCAGAATTAAAACCAAAACTGATCATTTATACCWCKGAACAATTCACACTATCCGTTGAGCTGGTATAGACTCAAAATTTAATAATTTATAACAACAAATATATATATTATTAATTAATACTATAAATATAAATATAATATAATAAACACAATATTTTCAGAAAACTTTTATCGATCTACCATAATACTTTGGCACTTTGATGATACTTTAACATCAAAGACTTAGTGATACAGGTTGACAGGCTATTTTTCTCAGAATCGTTTTACGTATCTAAACAATGAAATTATATCATTTATTTCAAGTTTTACATATAAATTTTATTGGCCCACTCACTATACTGTGGGAGTTACAGTTTCCGCGAAAATTTTAAATGACCAATTCCACCAGCACCCGTTTCCGCCAATTTAAAAAAGGTTCGATTCCCATTTCTGCCAATTTACCTACTATGGAATAATAATTATTATTATTATTCATAGTTCATAAATCCTAAGTRTTTTGGTTGATTGTGGGTCGTTAAAATGTTTTAATTAATTTCAGTTCACTAAAACTACGTACACATGATGCGGTATTACATAAGGCAATRTTAGATACAAACGAGTGATAAGCGATAGTTGTACACATTAATCTACGATAATGTCAATTTTAAATGCACACATACATACAATATAATATGTTAGGTATCCATAAATACTGTATAATATTTATATCACTTAAATATGGAATCATTGTATATATATCGATAAGAAACCAGCACCCATATGTGATACTTACTACGTAATTCTATCAATTGAACATATCGTAATCACCAGCCCCAAATACACTGAAGCACATAAGATACTCCAAAATCCTGCATCACTCTATCAAGCCTTCAAAGATGAAAACACAAYTGCAATCAGTACATTTTTCCATAATATAAACACTAGCTAAATATCCATTGTAAATAATAACTATAATAATGTAGTAAAATTTAATGTACACATATTATATTATATATATTTTYCTTTCTTTTTTTGTATACATTTAAATAAAAGTAGGCTAAAAATATGTGTTGTTGAAGCCTTAATAAACTTTAAAAAAAAAATCGATAAGATTGAAACCACAGTACAGATAAGAACATTTTTTATCCCATAAAATTACTGTATCTATTTATGAATAAGTACATTTACTTAATAATTGCACTTATTGAACCTTTTTAAATTGGCGTAAACGAGCGATGATGGAATCAGTCACTTCAAATTTTGGCGTAAACGGGCGATGATGGAATCAGTCACTTCAAATTTTGGCGGAAACGGTATATACATGCCCCTACTGTACAGCAGAGCGGTACGCAATTGCTAACCTTCTCATGAATATTTATAATTTGTATACATAGAAATAGAGAATGCTAAGCTTTGTATGTGAGCTACCCCTTAATTATAATTAAATGACATTGTATATAGATACATAAAAATAAACGTGTAATAATATGATTACCTATAAGTTATCATAGACATTTTTATAAGACTTATCATTTCAAGTAAAATCAATAATATTTTATCGATTGAATTATTACATGTGATTTAGGTACGTTTTATAAAAAGAATATTGAAAATGTACAAACATTAAAATTTAATATTTACACATACCTAGCCCATAAGTATCCTGATATGAATATTATTTATTATTCACCCTTCGTCAAAATAGATGAAAAAGTCTTTTGAAAATGTACATACAAAAAKTGTTAAGATGTCGTGCATAAAGTTTATAAAAATGGAAACGTTCGTAAATATCTTATAATATTATGTTTTACAAGCATACTTTACATTAGTAAAAATCGTAGTCTTTCAGAAGTTCAAAAACGTAACCTGAAATGTCATKAAAATTATGTAAAAGTTGATATCACATTTTTACACACGAACTAAATTTATTAATCTCTATACAATATTAGTATCAAATAATGAATGAGTCATCTGAGTCGGATATCATGATTCAAAACATAAACAGGGTGATTCACCAAAGCGTTCTTTATACGTGTGTTCAAATTCGTACGCGGTGTCGACCGGATAAAAGTGGTAAAAATAAATACTCAAGAATCTTAAAACATATTCATTAAGYCCATTTAAAATTCTAACAAACAAATAAAATAAAAAACTGAATTAGTAAAGAMAACTGTGGGTGTGTATGCTTCGTAAATCATTCTGTATATTTATTATGGACTAATGGATTATTAAAGTGCCCAAACGTTCATTTGTAACCATAATCTTAATGATTCAGCTTATTAGACTAACTAAGTAATTAAGAACAGCTATATATAATTTTGGTTGTAAATTTGTAGTGTAACGTACAATTTCATATTTTTATTAAGAAAATATTTACGAACAATTTTGTTCGAAACGCAGTATCAGCGTCCAAAATGTTTTCCGTTATAACGACAGGGTTCATAGTTYTTAAGTAAACTACAGTTTATTATTATTAAATTTTACTAACTTAATAATATCGTTGGAATCTTGGAAATAAATACCCATACTCTATAGCATGCAGAAAACTACACACAGACACTTTTAACTGTATAACTATTAAATATTTGTGAGCTCTCACCACTATTCCACTCTTGGCATTTATGTAGGACGGAATCTTTTGAGCACGCATGGAAAACCACAATCCAGACCACGGACCACTTCCACCAGTTCTCCTAGGCCTCTTGAGCATTTCCCGATCGTCAATCCAGTAGTTATTTGTGTCCCCGTACATCCCGTAAAATTGCGTTTTTCTAGAACATATGAATATAGAAAACGTCTATCGCTAGTTAATAGATGATAGCAGAAATATATCTTATTGCTAACTAAAAACCAGATTCATTTGGACTAAAAATGACCATATCAAAATTTCAATAAGAAACAAGAAATTTGCGTGTTTAAATCATTATAGGTAATGACATATTTATTAAAGATAATAAAATTGCACTAAAAGAAAAATTAYTTATAATTAACTAAAAAACGAATTTTCACATTTCTTTCAGAATTTCCAAAAACATTGGTTTCCAAGTACAAATTCAATTTCATACATCAAGAAAGTAAATTTTTAAATTTATATGTTTTGAATTAATTTTTATATAAGAATGGATAAAATTTGATAAAAATTTAGTTACAATTTATTCTATGAGAATAAAATATTATTTATTTTGCCATGACTTAGGTACMTACACTTCTATTTTTATTATTATTTATTAAGTTTTTACCAATAYAATTTTCAGAGTAAAAATAAAACATAAAAAGACGAATTATAGAATCATATGAATAATTATTAATAAGAAAAAGAATTAACTTAATAAAAAAAAACACAATTTTTAAATGTTAAAAGTAATTTAAGTACATTTTTTAGTGCATTAAAAAAATAAAAATTGTAATGAATGCCATAAATTGTATATTTTAGGACAGTTTTCTTTTTTTCAAAGCATTTTAATCCGTCCCCTATAGTTATAAGTTTATAACATATATAATTCATAACATTACTTGCAAAGACATTTGTTATAAATCTTAATAATTATTATTGTATAACATATAAATGCTACAGTAAAYGATGTTATATYGGAAAATAACGTCAATAAACGTATGATATGGGATATGTYGATTATAAAATAATRTCTAAAGAGTAATRATAATTTGGTGATCGCTAAACTAATTGTGGTACTAATTAAAAACAATAACCAAAGAACTAAGAAGACTAAATCTTAGATGAACTCACAGACAAAATCCGGAACTTGGTATAGGTACTTATTACGATAAATATCCGAACCCTAAAATATGTAAAACAAAWAAGACTAAAATATAAATATATTTTTAGATGATTGTCAAGAAAATATTTATAATGTTTGTAAAAAGTCAAAAAAAATTTTTAAAAACAAGCTGAGAAAACGATAAAACTTCTAAAAAAAAATTCCACAGCTTGAAATAAGCACAACTGCAGCACGTGTAACTATACTGGACGTTGATAGAGCTCGTGGTACCCCACGAAATATACTAGTAGTTGTCACTCAAGTTATACAAACTCTGTGGGTTAATTCTTAATGAAAAAATATATCATCAAAATTTAAAAGTAATTAATATTTTTTTTATAGGTATGGGACATAGTTTTCTTTAGTAGGTATACAATTACACATGCCAGGAAATAGCTGGATGAGAAGAGAAATTTTTAGACATGGACAATGTGATCAAATTCACAAATTGCAGACAGTTGACACTGAGGAAAGCAACTAGTAATAGTTCTGTTGTAAGCTTCAAGGGTACCAGTGTTGCTATTGRAAAATTGGTTGAAACAGTGAATGTTGTGCCTTTCGTGGGACTGAAAAATTATGTTATAGTAAATGTCATAGCAGTACAACTTGTAAAAATAAATTAATATAATAACAATGCATTTTTTCTATTTTTAAAAATACCTAGGTTGGTACATAATTTTTCAAATTGCAATATTTGAGGTTCACGTGCATATCTAGTCTAGAACATCAATTACCTGTATATTTGGTAATTAACGTGATTTTTTAGTTTTTAACGATAATTACCTATGTATTTGATCAATTATACGTTAATAACCGGCGAATAACGTTAATTTCCAATTAACATCATTTACCGTACCATAAATATGATAAAATTTGAATACCATACATCTACAGTAGCTGTATAGCTCTACAGCTACTGTATCATGATGATTCGACTGCATAGTGCATATTTGAATTTAACGGCYACAATTTTTAACTGTATGTTGCAAATTTCAATTATTAATGTTACACAGTCAGATGTTTTACTGATATACTTCGTCTATCTCTATATAATATTACATCGACACCTCCACATCGATAATAATAAGTTATACTATTATATAAATTCTACCATACCGTTTACTGTATTCTGATACGTCTGAGTTGAAACTGTAACAGTAACCGTAGCAGGTTTTCTGGAGTTCGAAGAGATCACAACAGTTGTAGAAACTATTACGCCACCAGCACGGAGAGTCAAAAATTGTGTCGCACGGACGGACCGCCTAGACGTCAATTCAATACAGTCATTGGAATCATTTTGGAAGGTATACCCATTTACAGTGGCCAATCCCAATGGGGAGGCCTCCCCGATTGTTATGTTTAAAAAATCACCTTATTTGTGTCTTTGTCACTACCACTACAGCTATATTATTATTAATAACACCCCTCCACCTAAATGACGATTCTGGGCACATAACTGCACGTTTACCGCTTGTAAGTTAGCGAATACTAAGCGTATAATAATATAAAAATAGTACAAACATGCCATAACATTTGTTTTTTAATTGGTCAATCTGTATTACATATGTCAGTATAATTATTTTTTTTTTTTTCATAAAGTTTTTCATGAAGAACATTTAAATTTGAATATCTAACACAGATACGCAATTGATTAATGTCAAAGTTGCACACAATATCATGCTCAATACAATAGACCTTTAAAGCAAGTATTGAACAAAATTAACTATGCTATTTGTCATTAGTCTTTGTGTATAACGTTTTCTGATAATATATTAATTATTAATTTGAAAAGCTGGAATAATGCATAGGCACATTAAATCATCTATGATTGTAGTTGAAATTTGTTTAGTAGGTATCTAAAATGAATTTTTGAAGTTGTGTAAATATTTTTAAATAATATTAAAAATTATTTATACACATAAAAAAAATGTATATATTATTTACATTAGTATGTACTAAAATAATTTTATATATATATATATTATATTATCACATTTTATAAATAAACATCACCTTTAGAAGCATGTCACTGATGTTGAGTTTGTTGAGCTCTTCGTAATGTTTTTCGAATTTTTTTATTTCGATAAAATCTTCAAACAGTGGTAAACGGATCGTGGCCAAAGCCGCCATTATTTTGAACACAGCTTCATTGTACGAACCCGGCAGTCCGGAAGAGTTGTCATACCTCGAAACCCAACAACAAGACCGTTGTTATTTTTTTTTATTTTCAATAAATYTCGTTTCTCCAGATAATCTAGTATATTATTTTATTGTGTTGTACGCTTACAAGGTTTTGATAACGGGATCGTACACTCTGCTCGGTTCGCAAATGGTCACAGACGGAAACGGCGCGTCGGAGTACAAATAAGACGTGGACAATATAATGGTTTTAGTGAAACTGGACTCGTAGACTTTCCAGACTTCCAACACGCAGAATCCGGTGCCGAACAATGCGAGTGTGAACATCACCAGCCAAAACCGCCTGTCCGTGTAATATTTAATATTTTTATTCGAAACGGGACTGTTAGTATTTTTAATATCTGTAAGGCTCGGGTTAACGTACAACGCACTCATTATTTTAGAAAATCTAAAGATTTTAAAGATATTTTTTGTGCATGGTTTTAAGTCACTACGAAAACAAAAATATGAAAAGGAATTTTATTTTGTAATATTTGTCATCTTATAATTTTCAAGCATTTACGTTTTTGAACGACAACATACATTTTTTATTTCATATTCTTGAGCAAAATTTATTCAKAGTATTTCAGTCTATAAAAATCAAACCTTAGACAATAGTAATTAGTTATAAATTTATAATAAATGTTAAAAATGTTTACGATCAGAGTATTAAATCAACATTTTGCGGGATACGGTTCCATGTACCACTCCACTCCGTCAATCATCTAACTTTAAAATACTTTTGATTAATATTTTACAACATGTTCACAAAATTTCAAAATTTTCTATAGTCATATTTTATTATTATACTATATTATTATCATTGCTAGAAATTTAAATCGTCCTAATACAATAGATGATGGTTAATAATATAACTTTCGGAGTATCAGAACTTTAGATTTATCAAAGTGATCGTAATTACTAATTAGTAATTACAGTTTTGGAAATTATCCATTGTATTATATTTTCGTCAATAGGAAAGATGTGAAAATACCGTTATACTACTAACTTCAAAATTTGAAGTGCATTAAGTTCTKTAAAAAAGTAAAAAACTAAAAACATTGAGAATAACTACTCAAAATGTGGATTTTCCACACCACGAGGCACAATCGAATATAATTCTTTAGCCTAAACCTGCTAAACCAAATAAATAGCTAGTCTATATGAGTTTTAAAATATCAGATATGAAACTTGCAAGATGCCTAGAAATGTTGCAATAATCATATTATATGTAATATTAATTATTATGAATGTTCACAGCATTGATCAAATATTATTTGAGTACATAAAACCGGAAGTTCTAAAACTTTTATAGTCCTTGTTACCTGTTTTAACAATAAAATTTTTTGGGTACCCCTTCTCAGTTGGTAAACTAAAATATATGAAAAAAACTTAAACTTTTATTTAGTAACTTTTTAACCTGTGTAACTCAGTTACGCGTTATGCTTAAATAAAAGCAAAGGGCTATTGTTAATATAAATTTGTATTTCATTTAAAACTAACACTCGAACAATTTTAAAAACAAATGCACTTACCTACCCACGAATAAATTAGTGAGAAGGGCGAGGTTGTTTTTTGTTTGCATAGTTGATCAATATCGGCCATCGGGTTCTAACTTAGTACAATACAATCTTAAAGCATCATAAACATTTAATTTGTTTCTATATTTACTTTTAAGATAAGTTAAACTTGAAAAACCTTTTTCACATAAAAAAAGTGGTGGAAAACGCAACAAGAAATTKTATGGCGTTGTTTATTTCTTTCCAACACAGATTCAGAAATCTAACAATATAGTACCAGAATTTAAGTATTTGATTTTCATTGTGGGATCACACGAGACTTCAATGAGCTGCTCGTTTTCAAAATTATTCAATTTAGTGTCAATAGCATCAGCATCAAAAGGGTCATATTATATCTAGTCTTATTATATCTTTACAATAATTATAACAATTGCAACCATTTTTATACGAAAAAAATATTAATATCTACTAATTATTTGTTCTATTATAAATAGTAAATATAATGTATAAAATTTAACCAATAGCAATAAATAGCTGACCAACAAAATAAATTCGATATTGAAAAAATAAATCAAAACTAAATTTGCCAACTATATTATAGGTATGAAGTTTGGATATTTTAGTTTTTTTCGACGATCATTATTGGTTGACTAAATGTACGTTTTTTACATTATTGAAGTTTTTCATTTTAATAATTAAAAAATTTATAAAAAATATATAGGCACTACTCTTTATTTCTACTTTTTTAATTGATAATATTTTKATTTTTATTTTTATTTTAATGACTATAAGAAGGCTAAATAAAGTAAAATAAGATAATTCTTTTAAAAATTATAGTGCTTAAAATTTAGATGACAATATTTTAAAAGATTTAAAAAAATGAATGATTTTAGAAACACATACATTTCCCTAGAGGATCAGTATTTATTGATAAAACTATCAAGTGTATTATGTTTTAATATAACATTAAATTAAAACAAACCTAAAGATTTAGATAATTGCAGAAAATGTCTTGATAAAAACTGTTTAATGTCTATTAAAAAGCATGCTAAAATTATCTTTATTGAATGCTTACCGTTCACCGACGTTTTTAGCTCGTATTATGTGTTTTAACGCGTTGACGGAAATGTCTAGAAAATACTCTCTACTGAAATCTTTTAGTTTTTTCTTATGTTTCCGGCGTCGATCCATTTTTGTATGAGGAAAACCCTATTTATCAATAATCGCATGTAAATACGTATTTATAGACATTCAGTTTAATATAATATTATATTATATTTGCGGCCACAGAAAACAATATGTTAAAACCCAAAGACAAGTAAATATTATAACTTAAAAGCAATATTTTTAAAATGTAATTTTTTTTCTTAAATACTCATGTTGAAAAATAAACAATTTAGATTAATTTTTGGTCGAGTATAATGATAAAATTGTACATAATTGAAATTGATTTAAAAAATACCTGCAAAACACTATTTAGTGTACTTTATTTTCTACGTGCGCTGATACTGGCGATTAAATACCTGTTACTGCTTATATGGTGTCAAAAAGTTTTCAAAGTGTACAGCTTTATATCGCACGTCTATCATAAAGGCGTGTAAATTTCCGTATTGCTAAGCACTTTTGTCCAACAATGATGTAGTTCTCTCACTGTTATTTCTATGTCAAACTAGAAATATTCAAATTGAAATTATTGTATTATAATATTATTTTTTAAACACTTGTCACATATTGTATGATGATTAGGTATAATATCGTTTTGGTATAATGTATGTTGGTTTACCTCTAATAAATTACATGATAATGTTACAATTTTAATGTAGATAATGGTTGACTAAAACTTTTTGGATAATATTTATTTTTCGAGCACAGCGCACTTTTGCTCATCTATTCATCAATCACGCCAAATGTATTGGGGCTTATAAACTTTGGTAAATTCTATATTTTTGATATTTTAGAAACGATCTGAGATTGATATGTCTACAGCTGCGACAGTATAATAGATAATGTAATGTGTTAAATGAAAGGTATTTTTATTTGAATATAATATTGTTTCTATAACGATGTTTTTAATTAATATTTAGAACTAAAATAATGATTAGCCGTTTCTATAATTTTTAAGATTTTAAAATCAGAATTTCAAAAATTATTCTGAGTTTTGATAAACTTTAGTGCAATTCAGAAAATGACAAACAAAACGAAGGAAAAAAACAAGGAAAATATTTTGGAAATAGGATGGTAATATGAAATACCCAATTTTAAATCTACATTATAAAAAAAGCGGGTATGTCGTGGATTTCGCTCTGCTGTATAGTAGGTTACTGTAATGGATGGGATTAAATTTGAATGCAATGATAGGTATAATCATTATATAGGAAAAACGATTCTGAACGGAGATGATTTGTCAGTCAAGGGTATATTATATTTTAATATTGTCATATATTATATTTTGAAATAAATATTTTATTWTTCAATTAAGTCGCATTTTGCATAAGGCATGGTTAATCAATTAGTGTAGTTATCATGTAGTTATCATAATTCATAATACCTTATATTATCATAGATATACGAATTCCTGGTTTGAGGATAAATCGTAATCATTACGCGATTCCATAAAAATTTAAAACTCAAACGCTCAAAACATTTTTCCTATAATGACACTTCAAATTTTCTCTATAGCTTTTTGAAGCAAAAATTATGGAAAACTTGTTGTTAAATTTTATAACCTTAGATATAAATACAACCAATATTATGAATTTTGAACTACAAAATAATTTGCAAATATTCATGGTTTTGACGAATTTTTGTCAATATTTGAAATT